ATGAATAAATTGTGCCTATATAAATTTTGATTCATGATCGAGAAATAATTTGTTCCCAATTAATTCGATATTTTGGACCAAATAATATAAAATTATGACATTAATATATTTAATTAATAAAATATATTTTAATTTAATTATTTCATGAATAAAATTTAATTAATATTCAATTTTTAAAATTTTAAACCTTGTTCTTAGTTTTGAAATGGACCATACTTAGAGGGTATTTGATGGGGATAAAAATTTAATTTTTAGTAGATTGTGATAGAAATTTTTTAAATGTGTGGTTGAAAAGCTGTGAGAACCAAGAAAGATGTGATTAATATTGATTGTTTGACTTTAACTTTGATTAAAATCAAATTTTATTCAAGACCAAACATGGACTTAATCTCTTTGGAAATGATATTTTCCCAATCACAAATCCAAGATTCATTATGTATGCAAAACATTTATGGAAAGTCATCTAGTCTATTTCATATATTTTTCCTTACCTCAAAATATATTATAAAAGGATAATTAGCACATAACGTCCCCACTTTACATTGTTATTGTGGAAAACGTTCATACCTTTCATTTTTTGACATTTTCATCCTTATTTTCACCATTCATTATGTTCATTTTCATCCATTTTTTCAATTACAAATTGTGAAATGACGAAAATACTATTTCCTTTAAATAAAACAAAGAAAAAACTAATTGCAAACATTGTCCCAAATTTTTTGAAAAGCGCAAATGAGTCCTAAATAAATTATTAAAAGGGTAATTAGTACAAAATGTCCATATCTTTCACCTTTATTGCGAAAAACATCCATACCTTTCATCTTTTTTTGGCATTTTCACCATTAATTACACATTTGATTGTGCAAACCATCATTTCCATCAATTTTCATCAAAAATCTCAATAAAGAATTGTGAAATAATGAATATACCCTCATACTTAAATAATTTTTTTTTTTTTTTAAGTTCTAATTCTTTAATAATTTATTTGGGACTCGTTTACACTTTTTAATTTTTTTAATTTTTAAATAAATTTAATTGAGATTCATTTGCACTTTTCATTAAAAAATTAAAATTTTTAATAATTTATTGGGGACTCGTTTGCACTTTTTAAAAAAATTGGGATAATGGTTGCAATTAATTTTTTAGTTTTTCTATATAAATAGGAGGGTATATTCGTCATCTCATTGTTTTTTATTGAGAAATTGGATGAAAATGGATAGAAATGATGGTTTGCGCTATCAAATTATAATTAAGGGAGAAAATGTCAAAAAAATAAAAGGTATGGACATTTTTCGCAATAATAGTGAAATGTATGGACAATATATGCTAATTACACTTTTAATAATTTATTTGAGATTCATTTGTACTTTTCAAAAAATTGGGACTATGTTTGCAATTAGTTTTTTTCTTTTTCCTTTTGTTTTATTTAAATGGAAGGGTATTTTCATCATTTCGCAATTTTTAATTGAGAAATGGATAAAAATGACCTTTTTGAGCAATTAAATGTGGAAATAATGGTGGAAATGCCAAAAAATGAAAGGTATAGACATTTTCCACAATAACAATGAACGACGTGGACGTTATGTGCTAATTATCCATTATAAAAAAGAACTATATAAGTGGAGGTAATACTAAGCCAATTTCCACTTCAATAAAATTCAAAATAAAAACAAAATATTTTAGATCTCGATGTACAATCACATTTGGAAAAATAACCTGTTATAGTTCAAATGACTCATTTCCCCCAAAGTTGGTACGTACCATTTTTCCTAGTCGAGTGGGAAACTTTGCATTATTGCCTAACAGAAATACGAGTAATTCTAACGGTAGTCTAATTGAGATGCCTCGGTTAGGGTTAACTAATTTAGCTCGAGTCGATATTGCCTGAATTATATAGAGTTAATTTTTTCTTATCAAAATAAATTTTGTTCTTCAACTAACTAGACCTCGATCGAAACTTCTTGGATGAGTTTACCTAAAAAAGTTTTTAACGTCTCGATAAAGTTTGTAAAATTCGAGAAATGCATGTAAAATTGAAGTTAGAAGTTGTACCTTTCTTTTTTTTGTCTACCTTGCTTTAAGAAAGCATCATACTTTGCTTGATCACAACACTACATTCAAATTAGAATATTTCTACAAGAGGGTTATAATCTTACACGGAATTCAATATTTTGCATTATCTTACATAAACAGATTCAGTTTTAAAGATCATTTAAATAAATAAATTTTTCTTATCTTTAAAGATTAAACTTTACAGGAGATAGATGAACGTGGTATTCATTTCGATTCACTTTCTTATTGCATAAATATAAGTAAGAGAAATGCTACATCTACAACCTTTTTACACATACATTTTGACAGCCCTCTCACATGGGGTGAGACCCACAACCGTGGACCCCACACCCATATGAGAGGGCTGTCAAACTTATTGTGTAAAAGGACTGTACATTTAGCATTTTTCTATAAATAATTGTCAACCTATCACGTCTTTAAGAGCTTGTATGGGAGAGATT